AAATATATTTGCCCTTCAAAAGGGTATAAGCACATATGTTCAATTTTCCCATTCAAAAAAAGGTAATTTGAGGAGATTGAGACGCAGGTGTCAAATTTTTTTCCGCAAAGTTGCTGCTGAAAGCTGCTCCCCAAAGTTGTATTCTAAAATTATTCCCCAAAGTTGCGGTTCTTCAAAATTGTCGTATAAAATGGGTTCGTCTGGAAATACCGTGTCCCCATTGGAAGGTTGGTATGCTTCGGGATATTCTTCGGGGATATGTTTCCGGGTCTGCTTCACATGAACTTCATCATATGGAATTTACTTCATATCTAAGAGGCTTCCAACAAATTTTCCGACCTTTTATATATTTCTGTATATCCTTACACACATATGTATAGAAAGAAAGAGAGACACGTGGCTAATTCTGACAGCAGGTAGAGTTAGGAAGCACATTTGTTCCTGACAGCGGGTGGTTGGTTCAAGCCATAGCTTTGGTGCCATGGCGGCATGGGCAAGGATCTCTTATTTTCAGGGTTATACAGAGATATGAAGTATCTTACTCACGCGTTCAAAATATGCCAGGGTCTGGAAATTGAAGGTTTGAGGAATGAAATGGGTATGATTCGGGTATGATTCGGGTATGATTCGCGGAGCAGTATTCAGCACACCGTATCAGATCTAGACAGGAGTTACAACGACCAGTCAGCACCAGAGATTGGTCGATACAAACGGTATCGGCTGCCACAATGAAGCTACAGCGGCCAGTCAGCACCGAAGCTGTCTTCAATCTATTTGGCTGCATAGGGCAGCCAAACTGCGGTAATAGGAGGGCACCTAAAGGCAACATAAAACAAGTGTCGCCACCCATAATCTCCAAACAAGAACCATTATCAAGGCCTCAAAAATAATCTTCATTTTGGGGGGTTTGCTTCGGGGTATGCTTCGGGGCTATACTTCGGGGTATGCTTCGGGAGTATGCTTCGCAAGAGCGTCACCTTCCAGGATAACGAGAAAAATATACTAACCCAAATTGTTCCTCAAATTTGTTTCCGAAAATTATTTTTTAAAGCTACTCCCCAAAACCGTCGTTCTTCAAAATAATTGTTCGTCAATGCCACTACAAAGTTGTTCCCCATAATTACTCCCCAAAATTGCTCTCCAAAATTGTTACCGAAAGCCGCGTCCCAAAAAATCTCCCCAAAATAGCGTGCACAGATTAAGGAAGCAAACACAATGTATGCAATAGCAGGCGGGTACAGCAAGCAAAACGTCTCGCAGAGATATGTATTTAAAAAAATACAGACACAATAGTGCGGAAACTATAGGCAAGCGAGGACAATAGCTCGCAAGGGACGGGATAGATCTACGGGGAATCGAACCCCCCGACCGTCCGTAACCGACCGTATTACATTTACCCAGTGATACGCTAACTAAGCAAAAGAGAAAATCTCGATCACTTTTTTGGGAAACATCAAACGAAATTTCCCAAAAAATTGTAAATTTTCAACCTCCGCGCAGGGGGCTCTAGAAGTACAAGCTAAGCCTTTAT